TGTGAGGCCGAGTCGATCTCGTGGAGGTCCAAGATCGGTTCAGGTTGGCCGTGAGTGGTAATCGAATTCGGGTCGCCGGGTTCGTAGCGCAGCAGCGCGCTAACCTCTACACTAGCACTCCCATAAAACACATTCTAACTTGCGTCTCCAAGTTTTGGGCAGCCCCCTTTGTTCGACGCTGCGTGGTATTTCTCTCGGGTGAGCTCCTACTGGCAGCACCACACCTACACGGAAGATTCGGTCGCATTGGATCACGTTTACGGGCGCACGGCCGAACAGACAGACGGACAGAGCTAATGCGTGGACGCTCTACGCCCTTGGTTGGAAAGCATAACCAAAAAAACATAAGGCCTTTTTTTATTAAATCAAATCGCGACGAGATTTAATCATCAAAGCTCTCGAATTGGTGATTCATTGTTTGGCGATCCTTCATTGGCAGAGGTGCACCAGAATAATTAACAGAAATACCTCGATGCGTTCATTATGGGCCATCCATAAATGACGTCACGCGATTTTGGACGATTTTTTGATCCCCCCCCCCCCGCATCGTCACACGGCGTCACAAAAAGTCAGACCCCGTCTCAAATATGACGTCACAAAGCTCTGCCCCCCCCCCAAAAAAAAATATATAAAACATGCTTCAAATCGCATTAAACTATTGTTATTGTAGTGCGTATTTAATGGGCGCTGCACTCTGATGTTGTAGGAGAAATCTTTTATTAAAAAGTATATTGAATTAAGTAGAACGTGTTGTCTATATTTATTTAAAGTTGCGCATTTTGATGTGACGTCACATTTCTCAACCCCCACCCCCCACCCTCGTCACACATCGTCACAAATGTCTGACCCCCTCCCCCCCCCCCGGTAGGTGCGTGACGTCATTTATGGACGGCCCCTTAATAACAGTGGCCTTAAAAAGGGGAAATATATAAACATATAAAATCGGCGATGATTCAGGCAGTGGTCCTTCGTCATAGCGCATAAATAACGAGTGTCGCCTATTTTTTTTAATTATAATATTTGCACATTTTCTCTTTGAAGGCTACGGTGCTATTGACGAATGCGTATCAATTTATTTTCATTTGCTCATCAGGAAAAACAGAAACCTGTAAAAAAATTTCTGCAATCGAAACACTTAAGACAGAAACGGGGAGGGGGGGAGGGGGGGCGAGTGGAAGGTGGCGATGGTGGGGGACTTGTCAATATTGTTGCAAATTACATAAACCACAACAAATTACATGAACCACAACAAATTACATGAACCACAACAAATTACATGAACCACAACAAATTACATGAACCACAACAAATTACATGAACCACAACAAATTACATGAACCACAACAAATTACATGAACCACAACAAATTACATAAACCACAACAAATTACATGAACCACAACAAATTACATAAACCACAACAAATTACATGAACCACAACAGATTGAAGATGTTGTGAATTTGCTCTCCAGCACACAACCCGTGTGCTGTACTAGTGACGAATCGCCATGTTCGGTTTACCTGACAAGCCTTACTAATTGGCTGTGTCGGGTGGTGGCGGGTTTCACGACACATTTATATTTTTGACTTAAAGCTTTCGTGACTGCAGGCATTCATATTCTTTGGGTCTTTCGGGAAAGTCACGTTGATAGAGTCAAAGAAACCTATCTACGTGTTATTTTTTTTGTTATTTTTGGTAAATTTTTTTTTGAACCTATCAACGTGACTTTGCCGAAAGTCCCAAAGAATATAAACATTTATATTTACGCCACGTAACCCAAACAAACAGAAACCTGTATTGATCGCGAAAGCCTCCTACGTGTTAATCCACAACAGCGCTCTTTATTTACGCAACAATAGGCCTCACCGAGTCTCAAGACTCATTTTCAAGAGCCGGGTTTGTTCCCCCACCGCCCCTCCGTTGCAACAACGCCAACAACATCGTTCGACCCGATGCCTTCCCAACGACAAAAGGCGAACCGGGGAAGAAACCCCGGGAATCATCGGAGGAAGAAACGCCAAAGAAACCCCCCCCACCCCCCCCACAAAGCCAAAGAAACCCCCCACCCCCCACAACGCCAAAAGCACAGCGGCCCCGAGCGGCTCAGGGGGGCCCTGGATTCGCGCAAAACATTGGGGGGGGGGGGTGGGGGGGTGCGCCGCACAGCACCTCGAAGTCAAATCCTCATGAACACAACCGAGAGAATGAATGCACAGGAGCCAAGTGCCGTCACCTCACGCCGTCTCTGTCTCTTGGCTGTATCTGTGTTGTCACTTCACGCCATCTCTGTCTCTTGTCTGTATCTGTGTTGTCACCTCACTCCATCTCTGTCTCTTGGCTGTATCTGTGCTGTCCCCTCACTCCATCTCTGTCTCTTGGCTGTATCTGTGCCGCCACCTCACGCCATCTCTGTCTCATCTGTATCTGTGTTGTCACTTCACGCCATCTCTGTCTCTTGTCTGTATCTGTGTTGTCACCTCACTCCATCTCTATCTCTAGTCTGTATCTGTGTTGTCACCTCACTACATCTCTGTCTCTTGTCTGTATCTGTGTTGTCACCTCACGCCGTCTCTGTCTCTTGTCTGTATCTGTGTTGTCACCTCACTCCATCTCTATCTCTAGTCTGTATCTGTGTTGTCACCTCACTACATCTCTGTCTCTTGTCTGTATCTGTGCTGTCACCTCACTCCATCTCTGTCTCTTGTCTGTATCTGTGCTGTCCCCTCACTCCATCTCTGTCTCTTGTCTGTATCTGTGTTGTCACCTCACGCCGTCTCTGTCTCTTGTCTGTATCTGTGCTGTCCCCTCACTCCATCTCTGTCTCTTGTCTGTATCTGTGCTGTCCCCTCACTCCATCTCTGTCTCTTGTCTGTATCTGTGTTGTCACCTCACGCCGTCTCTGTCTCTTGTCTGTATCTGTGCTGTCCCCTCACTCCATCTCTGTCTCTTGTCTGTATCTGTGCTGTCCCCTCACTCCATCTCTGTCTCTTGTCTGTATCTGTGCCGTCACCTCACGCCGTCTCTGTCTCTTGTCTGTATCTGTGCCGTCACTTCACTCCATCTCTGCCGTCTTCTTTATCCGGGGGGTTTGAGGTGAGGGGCGGACACCAAAGCCAAAGATCTCCCTTGTAGCCTTAACATACTTTTGGGGCAAGTGCCGTTCGCGAGCACCACTGATGGCCGGAACGGCACACGAAGGGGTGGGTGGCCAGCACCACGCACGCCACCACCACCACCACTCAAAGCAGCAGCAGGAACAGCAGCAGTAAGCGTGTGTTCAACCCCGTGACTCTCATCAACCACTCATTCGAAGTTTGTTCGTTTGGAATCTGCGCCATTCATTACAGGAAGCCGCTACTGTGCTAGACAGTGCGCACAGCCGGTTGTTTCACAGCAGGGGGCAACCTTGCTGTGTGTAATCCCAATGTAATCCCAATGGAATCCCAATTGCTGTGTGTAACCTCAATGTAATCCCAATTGCTGTGTGTATATCCCAATGTAATTCCAATTGGTGTACGTAATTCCAATGTAATCCCAATTTCTGCATGTAATCCAAATGCAATTCCAATTGCTGTGTGTATATGCCAATGTAATCCCAATTTGCTGTGCATAATACCAATGTCATCCAAATTGCCGTGTGTAATCCGAGACAATAATTTGCGGTGTAATTTTTAAAATTTTGAAAAAAAAAACATTAGTACCGTGACGCCCAGCACACGATGGCCAACTCTTTTACAGTGACATCAGCAAATAAATCTAAAAGCTACAAACAATTTTGGTATTTTACCAGGTAAGGCCCACTGGGGGATATGGATGTTTTTCAGAAGGGACCTGGCCACAAATGATAGCTCAACAAAGTGGCTCATCAAGTGGAAATTTATAACAGCCAAATAACTCTGAACACGTGCTCATTTTAAACTTGGAGAGGAAAACCGGAGGGCCCGGACAAAAATCCACGTGACCAGGGGGAGAGAGACACGCAAACTGCAAACATACAGCAGGCGTCCGGTTTCAGGATTGAACCCACGACCTCCTGTATACCAGGAGAGGTAGTGAACATCTCGTTACCGTGGCGTCCCAATCTTTTCACATCCACTGCGAAGCAGGTGGCACGTCGAATTCTACGGTTAATGCCGCGCAACCGCAGTGCAGCAATAACCAGGGCGGCCTGACGGATTCGAACCGCGAGCCACGGCCGACTGACACGCGGCCGTCACGACCGAGGCTGTAGATTTCAGTCGCGCGGGCAGCCCCAGAGCCTCGGGGCGAAGGGGGACGGGCGGGTAGGCGGCGGGGTGGGGGGGGGGCACCCAGGCAGAGAGGCATAGGCAGGGGAGGCGTACAGGTGTGTGGGCATTATCCCGAGGGCATTTCCCATCCCCTGACGTGCCCCCTCCCCGCCCCCCGATCGACGCCGCCCGGCCCCCTCCTCCACAACCGAGGTCCCCTGAGCACACCGAAAGCTCCCTTATCCCCACTCACATCTCTAAGCCCCTTATGTTGGCAGTGAGGGAGCAGTGGGGAGGGGGGGTAGGGGGGGAGAGTGGTGGGCCGGGGGTGGTTGGTGGGGGCAGGAGGGGAAGTGAAGGAGTTGCGCTGGGCGCGTGAGAGCCTAGGGAGGTATGGCTGCGGTGTAAAGTCGCCCGTGTGTGAATGAACGGGTGAGCGGTTTTGTGCTCGTTCAATCAATCGCTCGCTCGATCGCTCAATTGCTAGCTCCCTAACCCGGCAATTCAATCAAGAATCTCACTCATTCACTTAATCGTTCACTTACTCAGTAATTAATCCAATCGATGTCTAACCCGTGCACCTGGCCGTTCGTTCGATGAGCGTTTGTCTAATCTGCTCATGCACCAATTCATTCATTCTGTCAGCATCTCACTCACTCACCCACCCGCCCACTCAATTATCCACTCACTCGCTCAACGTAAAACCAATTCATTACGACATTTACTCACTCACTCATCCCGCTCACTCCTCTCACTCGCTCACCGACCCACCCAAAAAATTACAACCATTCGTAAGCTCGTTTACTCAACTTTCAAATTCGATAACACGCCGGCTCGCCCAACTCGCAACTCGCTCTCAATCCACCTTACCCGACCAGGCCTCGCCGCTCGCCCCTCGGACCTCATCCTCATAAATTCATCATCGGCCGCTTGCGCAAACAATGCCCGGTGCTGATTTTTTTCTTCTTCTTCAAACTTTGAGCCGCCACCGCTGTGCTGTCAAGCGACGCCAAGCCCCTCCGGTGAGCTTTCCAGCCAGCCGAGTACGTTACCCCTTCGCCGATGAGCTCTGAAGAAGGGCCATTACACGAAACGTCGCCCGTTATATACGCATTTTTTTATTTTAAGGCTGCATGCACTGTAATTGATGAACATATAACGGAGGGGGGTTTCCCACCCCCCCCCCCCCCCCGCTCCTTTAAAATGTCTTCATTGGATGGGCACTCCAGGTGCTTCAGCGGGAGAGAAAGCGGCTCGCAATCACAAGGTCGCAAGTTCAAATCCTGGTTCTGAAGGGAGAGGCTTGATTCAGCCCATCATCCGTCCCTCCGGGGTCGATAAAGTGAGTATGTACCAAGTTGTGGGGATGTCAAAACAGGCTTTCTTATGGAGAGACTCGGTCCCATCATAGCAATGTGGAATTTCTACTGTCTCAAGGCTGTAATGGGAGATGAGCACCAGTCCTCCCTCCCTCTCTCCCTTCACTCTCTCCCTCTCTCCCTTCACTCTCTCCCTCTCTCCCTTCACTCTTTTCCCTCTCTCCCTTCACTCTCTCCCTCTCTCCCTCCACTCCCCTCCCTCCCTCCACTCCGCTCTCTCAATTCCCTCTCTCCCTCCACTCCCCTCCCCTCCCTCTCTCCCCTCCCCTCCCTCCCCCAACCTCAAGCCTGCCCTTAACCCCAAATCAACGTCACATTAACCCTGATGAATAAGCACGGAGCGCTAATGTGGCAGTCGGTTTCACAAAGGGGCCCTCTCCCCCCACGCGTTCCCTTCTTGTTGGTTATTGTGGACCGCGGTCAAATCGCTGCCATCGGCACTCGGAGCCTTTTGGCGGCACCGTGCGCTGCGGGGGGAGCTGCGGGGGGAGCTGCGGGGGGAGCTGCGGGGGGAGCTGCGGGGGGAGCTGCGGGGGGAGCTGCGGGGGGAGCTGCGGGGGGAGCTGCGGGGGGAGTTGCCGGGGGAGTTGCGGGGGGAGCTGCGGGGGGAGCTGCGGGGGGAGTTGCGCCCAACCGCTGCGGCGGCGCAGCGGTTGGGCGCGCTGCGTGACAGACAGGGCGAGCCGAAGTTCGATTCCCGCTCGGGACCGACAGCGGTAGGGGATATTTGAACCGGTCCTGGGCCTCCGCGAGATCGACTCTGCCGTGAATGGGTACCCTGGTGCGGTGTGCTGACATCGGCACTGGGGAGACGGAGGCACGGTGCTGGCCACCCATCCCCTCGCGTGCAGTCCCAGCCTTCAATAGGTGCTTGCTAACGGCACTTGCCCCGACGGTCTATTCATGAATCTTGATTTGAAGCTTTCGTGACTGCAGGAATCCATATTTATTTTATTTTATACCTACGTGACTTTACCCAAAGAACCAAAGAGTGTAGTCTATACGGGTAGTCTCTGGCTTTGTATTTGTTTTGATCAATAGCAATTATAATTTGTACGTTGGTTATTGAGATCATGAAACAATGAATATTACTATGATGATGATGATGATCTGCAAATGATGATGATCGTCAATAATAATCATCATCATAATCGTCCGATGATTATAATGAAATGATTACCAAAATGATCAGGAAACATTTGTCATCAATAACCATCATCATCATTAATAAATCATCATCAGTCATCATCAGCGTTACGATGAGCCTCAATAATAATCATCATCTCGTCAGCAGCTTTAAACAATCCATCCACATCATCATCACCGCCATCACATTATAAATACAAACAAACAATAAATTCACAATTTTGCGAATTGGGATGAAACACCGCCGCGAAATTGCCCCCCCCCCCCCCCCACTGGCCGTAGACTCCTCTTGAGTTCTCACCTCTGGTTAAACAAAATAAAACTTCGCGTTAAAGTGTTCATTCCCATTGAGCACAAGGAGGAGCCTTTGGCAGAGTCTCATCTCAATGATTCATTACGGGCAGGGAATGAATGGCAGGGGAGGGGCACGGGGGGGGGGAGCAGGGGCGGTGGGGGGGGGGGCATTGCAGCCCAGTAAACCGTGGCAAAGAGGGCACAGCTGTGGAGACTACAAAGAGGCCAGGGTTTATTTTCCGTAGAGCTGCAAGACCTCTGCCGTGGACAGACCGACTCGTTGTTCCTACAATGATGATTATGATCTTTTGACCACAACCCTCCCTCCCCAATTTCCCGCCCCCCACTGCCTCCCACCCCCGGCCCGCTCGGCTCCAAGCAACAAAGGTCCCCCGTGCCACAGCTCTAGCACACGCGCATTTCAAGGCGGGGTTTTTTTTTCTTCTTCTTCTTCCCTCCTCTGGCTTTCAAATTCCTTTCCTGATCATCTCCCTTATCTTCTCCGGGTTTTCTTCAGCGAGAGCAACAACAGCCTTTGTCTCGGCACCGATCACCGATGACTGCACAAAAACAACACGTTAAATTCGGTCCTCCAGCTTAATTTGGCCAAATTCCAGCCTGTGAGAGTTAAAAACTATCAGTCTGACCATCGAGCGACTGGACATTACCCTCCGTGGCGGGGGCCGGGTGGGAAAAGTGCTGCCCCCTCCCCTCCCTCCCTCCCTCCCCACCACCACCACCACCACGTGGAGCAGAGGTTACTCGAAGCATTCTTAGAAGTAGCTCTGTCGCATCCACTTCCGCGGGCCGTCATTCTCCAACGGCGGTTTATGCACTGCTCGAGTGGATTCCTGGTGACATGGCGTCGACAGCGCCACCGGCATATAGAGTTGGCGGGAAAAGAGAAAACTAAAATAAAAAACTCTGCTGTGCGTTCGACACGCAAAGAGCACTCTGTGCAGTGCGTACAGAAGGTGTGCTGCCCCTTTCGCGGCTGAATTTGGCCTAACTGACGGAGGCTTCAGATAAAAGGGCCCTAAACATCGACGTGCCACCACGAATCATGCAAACGTTCAGTGGCTCTCTTAAATTATACTAAAAAAAAAAATGTTTTACCAAGCAAGGTCCACTGAGCTATGTAGCTCTTTTTCAGTGGCGACTTGAATTTTAGCTCAACGAAGTGGCTTATCATCATCACGTGGACATTTATAGAAGACAAATAAACTCTAAACGCGCGACGTTGATTCTAAATGTGGAGGGAAAAACCGGAGGACCCAGGGAAAAAATCCACGCGACCACGGGGAGAGAGACACGCAAACTCCAGGTGTCAGGGTCGGGATCGAACCCACGACCTTCTGTATACCAGGCGCGGTGGTTAACATCTCACCACCTCCGGGCCGAAGCAGTGGGTGAAATGGCACGATCCTATGGCGGGGGATCGGTCCGTCCGCAGGGCAGTCGCTGGCGACGCGTCATACCGTTGTAGACTTGCTCTGAGAAGTTTAGGGAGAGGACTTCCTTGATCTTGCGTAGCTCACGGTCCATGGTGAAGGCCTCGATGTCCAAGTGGGCGGCGAGAAGCACGGTGCTGGCAGGGGTCTCGTAGATGCCTGGCAACACAACCGATAGTCATCGATGTCAACATCGCCAACGTCATCTTCATTAGTAACATCGTCATCAGTATCGTCGTCATCATCATCAACGTCGTCGTCATGGCCATTCGTTGCATCGTCATCTTTGGCGAGTAACATCATCGTCGTCGTCATCATCATCGTCTGTGTCATGATTAGCATCGTCATCATCATCAACATTGTCATCATCATTAATAGAATCATCATTATTATTCGTAACATCCTGATCATCATCATCATCGTGGATTGTTAACGGGCCGAAACGTGAACCTCATCAATGCGGTGGTCGCGGATCTGCACACCGATCGCCGCGATGACCTCAGCGACCCACACGTCCATCGAGCACGTGGTTTTTGTTTTTTTCTCCGCCGGCGGGGCACAAGGAGAGGCAAACGGTGCCCAGCGGCAGTGCCCCCCAGCCGGCGAACGGCGGCCGAGGCGGGCGGCTCGCTTGCGTTGGGCGACGGAAACGGCCGCGCGTTTTTTTTTTTTACGGACGCGGCCAGAAAACAAAACGAAATTAGCGGCGACAATAGCCACGTCAAACAATTGTCCTAACAATAGCAACCGCGTTAGCAATTACGGTGGCAAGTTCCATCGGGAGGGCCCACGCGGGCGCACGCGTTTGCGCGTTTGCGCGTTGTGCGTGTGTTGTGCATGCGTGCGTGCGTTGCCTGTGCCCGCGTGTGTGGAACGGTTGGATGTGCGTGGGTGGCTGGGTGGGCACACAGGGGCGGCTTGCGAAACAATTAAAACGTTTGCCACGCGTCGCGTCGTCACGGGCCTGCGACACGGACATCAAAGTTTTTGCATATAAATACATTTAAGTTTTTTTCCCTTTGCAATTTCGGTGGATTCGTGACATTTGCTTTGCTTACTTACGGGACGTGGAGTGCCTCGGCTAAATTTGGCACCCGATTAACATCCCGCTCGCCCGCCCGCCCGCCCGCCCACGCAATATTAAAGAAGCACCATTAATTTCTTATGCAAGACGGTGACGCAAGCGATGCTTTGGCCCCGACAGACTAATATCAACTCACGGCATTGTTCCTAATCGCCAATCATACCGTGCTCGCATTAACCCTGGTGAAGCAGAGTGCGCTCAATTTTTGTCGTCATTTTTTTGTCAACTTCTCAACTTCATTCAAACCTCGTCTTTCGGCGTCGTCGCAGTCACAAAATGGAACGCCGGTTACCAACAATTGCAACCACGTGCCAACAAAGCGCCTGTTCGGAATTCTGGCCCGAGAAAGCGGACATCACAGAACTATTTGTGAGATTGCTGCAAGCGACCTCCTGGCCACACGTTCGTGGTGGGAGGGGGCAGCATTACACTACTCTGTACCCTTCTGGAGAGATATCTGTCGCACATCATGAGCTGAATATTTGAATTACTTAGACCTGGAATTCTGCCGACCGATGCAAAAAAAAGCGAATGATTGTGATGACATATACGGCGCTGTCGTCGGGGACCGGGCCGAGTCCATCGACTCGCTACACTTCGTAGGCAGCAAGTCCACCGTCGCAACCACTCACTCACCCCGCCACCATAAAAAAAAGTTGCACATTTTGTGCACCCTTCAAGTCATCAAAAAAATGTCAGCGCCCTCTAGCGTCTGGGTTAAAGAGGCCACCTGAAGTGACCTCGGGAGGGCGTTCTGTAATATCCGTTTCCGCGGGTCGTTCTCTTAGCCCTTTCCCGTTCCGAGATGACTGCAAGTAGCAGGGTGGGTCCCGTCGACCGCCGAATCTCGTAACGTGCGAGCAGTTGGCGTCAATTTTATTTAGGGAGGCGTAGCTCCGTTGCTTTTAAAGACATCGCATTCACCGCAGAGAACCGACGCCAAAATGTGCCGCACGCCCTTCCGCACGGCGTCGTGGGAGCCTCGCTACCGACAGAGTCATTTAATTTAAATTCCTGTTCCGTTCCGATGACGCACACGTACTGCTGCACGAAGAGCTCCGAATGGATTCCTGATCTCGGGCCGTGACAACGGGAGCACAGTTGCAATCAAATTGGGGGAAGGGTGGGGGAGGGGGGGAAAAGGAGAGAGTTGATTTTTTTGTTGTTGCGGCGATCAAGAGCATTTGACTTCAGATCAAGTTGAACGTTATCACGCTCAATACCTATAAGCTTAAGTTTGACCCTCTCTGGCAACGTTGGACCCATCAGTTTCAAAGACACAGCATAATCGACCAGAGCATGTTCACCACAAGTGTATGTGCTTAATGCAGACATGATTCCTCGCGAAACGTTTCAGTTTGGTGTTTTAACATCTTAACACAACCGCTTCATTGCCAGAAAGGGTTTATTTTGATGCTGGCAAGGAGGTTCCATGACGCTCGACTTCGCCGAATTTAAAAAAAAGGATTTCACCGCAATTCACTCAATTGGAATCTCCGCAGCAATCATCCGTGTGTGTGGATGTACGTCGAGATCGTCTCACGCCGTAACGTAGCCAACCGTGCCATTCCCTCCCGACTGCGAACAAAAAACTCGGCAGGGACCCTCCTGAATAAGAGGCCCGCGTGAGGCGTTCCTGCGTCAGCAACAACGGGCGTCACGGCGATACCGGCGACGGAAACAACGGCACGCCATCGCTTCCTTCCATCCGACTAATTCTGCGGCGGCAGTTGCAGAGTCGACACCGGATCTTGCCGGTCTGCTCTCACAGTCCTCAGTACAGCCAGGTCCTATCCCATCGTCCCACGAGTGTGAGTAGGGAGGGGAGGAGAGGGAGGGAGGGGTTCTGAGAGAAGCCAGAGCCTTACAACTTTAACAAAAAATAACCGCTGGCAGATGGGGGGGGGGGAGGATGAGTGGTGGCTTAGATGCGGGCAGGAAGGGGTTGGGGGGATGGTTGGGGGGGGGCCAGGAGTAAACTGCACCGCACCGCCCGCCCGCTCCCCCCCCCGAGGAAAAAAAAACCGAGCAGATTTTTGTGCAGCCTCTCGTTATCTCATCGCCGGGACGAGCAATTAGCGCCCCCCGACAGGAAAATTACTGACGCCAGTGCGGCTCAAAACACGGCCCTCTTCATCCGCGCGTGTTTTCTCCTAGCGCGGCCGCCTCCGCGGCTGACAGCCGCTGACGGAGCGAACAATAAAAACAGAGATTGCACGGTGGGATGGCTTCCTCCGCGCCGTGAGTGACGCTCTCGGTAATAATCGGCTGCGTAAAACTGGCATTACCGCCAGCCTTTAAAACAACTCCCCCATGATGGACTACAAAGTGCTTAAGCCTCGCCCCCCCCCCCCAACTCCTACACCCCCCCCCCACCCTGTTCCCGCCAACACCGCCACCAACCGATCGACGGCTTACACACCTCCCCCTAAAATGTGTAAAGGTGCAGCCCCTGAAATTTCCTGCCGATGCCGCTGCTGGCGAAAAGGCCGCCCCCCGCACTCACCCCTCGCTCGAGGGCAACATTCCTGGAGCGGCGAGGCCAACCGTTGACCCGCCCGCCCCCCCCGCAACTTTTTTTACCGCGACGCATAGCGGAACCGCTGACAAAACGAGCTTCAAAAAAACCTTCTCCAAAAGTGCGGCGAAATGCTGACCGCAAGGCCGTGAGAACAAACTGGCGTCCTTGTCGACGAGTCTGCACAGTCGCGCAACTGGCAGTTCTGTTTCTCGTGCATGATGGCGGCGACGATTTGTTCCGGAGGGGGGGGGGGGGGGGCAATGTCGAGGTCTGCTGCTGGCCACGGCAAGTGGGCCTCAGGTGAGAGTTCGTGTCGTTTCGCTTTTGGCTCCTCCTGTGCGGCCCATTGTTTTGGGCTGCATGGCCACAAATCGCACGACCGCTTGCTGCTCGCGTCTTTGATTTTTCCCATTCGTGAAAAGGACGTGTGTTCATCGGCCTTCTCGCGCACTCGATGGATCCACCACCGGTGTGTCTTGCAGGAGGAGGAACGTCAAAGCCAGGCACGGTGCGGTGATGTTCGCGCCTCGACTGAGGTGCTTACTCCGGACGTGCGCGTTGTTCCAGTGGGTTCGCTAGCAGGGCGTTCTTCTGGATCTGCACCGAGAATCTAGGGTGGTGGGAGTTGCAGCAGCAGCAGCGCGGATACCCAGAAGGGGGGGGGGATCGACGCCCGAGTCGGCGATTGATGGGTAGGTTGTTGCAAGGTTGGCAAGGCAACTCGTAATAATGGGCAGGTAAAAAAACAAAAATAAGGTGTCTTGTGGATAAGCATTGATGCGCCTGCTATGGTCGACACTCTTAATTTGGATGATTCACACAATGGGACGTTGCCGTGGCGTAGCAGGGCATTGGACTTGCTGACCAGAGGTTGGCGTTTCGGTCTGCAAAGTTTCGCAAGACCACCTCCCCCCCCCCCACCTTCCCATCGGCCCAAGGTCACCCAGCAGCCACCAGTATAAATGGATGAACCACCATGCGGTGGGGCAAAGTGTGGGTACCACCACCTCTACAAAGGTATTTGGGCAGGATGGAAGGGGTAGGCCAAACAATCTCCAACAAAGAGAGAGAGAGAGAGCTATACTCTTTGGTTCTGCTCGGTAAAGTCACGTATGTAAAACAGGACCAAAGAGTATGGATCCTTGCAGTCACGAAAGCGTCAAATCTAGAAAAAAGAGAGAGAGAGCTCCTTCTCATACGAGAGGCCCTTCCTTCAGCCAGGGGCGCGAGCAGGAAATTGCAGGGCGCCGTGCCTCTAGAAGTCGCCGGCGGGTCGGTTCGAACGCACGCTCCGACGTGCGAGGCTGCACAATGGTTTGGAACGAAATGTTAAACCGCACGCGGAGAGCGAGCGCGACGGGTGCCACAGAGAGCATCGGCGAATCCCGGAACGGTGGCGGCGTGCACCGGCCAGAAGCCGTCTCCCCGCCTGCCTGGACGATCCTCAAAACAGCGCGGCCCACGGCATTAAAAATAAATCGCCCCGGGCCTTCATTTATTTTTCAAGCGAGCGGCTGCTTGGGCCGGCGTGCGGACCTGAAGCGTGCCACCGCCGCTGCCGCCACGATTCTCCAGCTTCAACGGCGCTGACATCATCAATCACTCGCGTCGGCTCCCTCCGCCTGAGCATCATCGTCGTTGTCAATCTCATCTTCAGTTGAACTACAAGCAGGTGCTTGACGCGTAGGTTTCCACAGCCAATGTCACGATTCGTTTCTTTTTTTGCTTAGCTTTGCGGGGGGGGGGGGGGGGGGGGGGGGGGGGGGGCGGGGGGGGGAGAAGAGGGGTTAGGCCACCACGTAACGATCTGGCCGAGTTTGTGTCGTCAAGAGCCCGCACCACCTGACGACGCAGCCATATAAATTATATTGCCACGTGCATTAGCATTTAACAGTGGCGCGCAAATTATCGCTGGCGAGTTGGAGAACAAATTCTCACAACCACCCCATTCGCTGCATTTGGTCAAGAGAATCATCCTTCAAATTTACCGGCGAGTGATCGGGAACGGTGGCATTTGCCGCGTCGCTAAAAACGCTCACACACGCGGCAACTTCATTTGATTGGCTGTGTCGACGGGGTCCTGATGACACGGATTTGGCCACACGCCGTGACGTAGTGGGCCTAACTCACATCATCAACAATGGCACCAGGTGCAGGTACGGGCGAGCGTTTGTCGATGACCAAGCAGCCCGGAACGCGCCCGATCTCGCGCCAGCTTTTGCAAGCCAAGCAGGCTCGAGCCTGGATGTCGCTGGAAATGGTGACCGAACTGCCATGCATAACGGGTGCTATAGGCTGCTACGGGAGTTCGTCGTGGGGATCAAGATCCATTGTACCGTACGATACTGAAAAGCCCCCCCCACGTTTGTGCCGCCCTGTATTCACGGAGAAGCTTTAGAGTCTTGTAGACCCCAGGAGCTACGTGATAAATACGGTGGCCAAAAAGCAAGGAGGAGACACATAGGGTTATCATATTTATTTTAACACTGGCATTAAACTTATTTTAATTGTTTAATATTCGAGTCAATATTTTTCCTGTGGTCATTGTTAACATTTTTTCTTCTCTTCTCCCTTTTTCGGGGATGGCATTTAAAAAATGGGAAAGAAAATTTACTTAATTGAGACAAAACATCGTTGATTAATGTTCAAAGATTGCACATGTATTCTTAAAAAAATAAAAAATAAACCTGCACTTATTTCAAAGGAGAATTAATGCATCATGCATTCATGTTAATTTGGAGTCGGTTTGAACATTTGTTAAACTGAAATAACCCCCTGTGATTTGTTAAAATCAATACAATAACCCCATGTGTCCTGACTTGTTGGGCCACCCTATATTATTGAGTCCTTCGGACCTATTGGCTCTCCAGATCCAACTGCACATGCAGAAGATTGTGTGCGTGCGCACGTGTGTACACGTCCACACGTGTGTACATGTGTGTACACGTGTGTACACGTGTGTACATGTGTGTACACGTGTGTACACGTGTGTACATGTGCGCACGCAGTCGGATCTGGATGCTGTCCGCTCACGCCACTTCATATCCTCGCAACAGTTTCGACCCCTCCGAGAATCATCAGCAAACGCGCGGTCGCCAAGCCAGCGCCGCTCGGCGTGCCCCTTGCGACACGGGGCACGGTGGCGATCCACTGACAATGGGGAACGAAATGGGGGGAGGGGCGAGGGAGGGGGGGGGGGCGGATGGTGGTGGGGGGGGGTAACATGAAAAAAAAATCGCTGATCTGACAGCCGGCCTGAAAGAGAAATGGCATTTCCACGAGCGACGTTCGTGAATACCCGCGGCTGAAATACACATCGCAGCAGGTGGTTTTTGGCAGGTGGGGGAGATGGGGAGATGGTGGTGGTGGTGGAGCAGGGGGGGGGTGGTAGGGGTGGGGGCGGAGGGGGCAGTGGAGGGATGCTGCAAGGAAGGTTCCAATTACTCTCCGCTCCTAACGCAGCGAGACTCGCGTGGCTCAGTGTGGTGTGTGTGTGTGGTGTATGCGTGCTGTGTGTGTGTGGTGTGTGTGGCGTGTGCCTGTGTGTGGTGTGTCTGGTGTGTGTGTGGTGTGTGTGGTGTGTGTGTGTGGTGTGTGTGGTGTGTGTGTGGTGTGTGTGTGTGTGGTGTGTGTGTAGTGTGTGTGTGCTGTGTGTGTGTGGTGTCTGTGGTGTGTGTGTTTTTGGTGCGTGTGTGGTGTGTTTGTGTGTGTTTTTGGTGTGTGTATGGCTGGGGAGCGGTAGTGCAGCGGTTAGCGCACTGCACTGTGAACCTGGCGACCTGAGTTCGATTCCCGCTCAAAGCCAACACAAGTTATGATTATCTGAACCAGTCCTGGGCCTCCCCTAGGTCAGCTCAGCCTCAAATGAGTACCTGATCTGATGTGTGCTGGCCACCCCACCCTACTCGCTAACAGCACTTGCCCTCACAGTCTGTTAAGGCTACACTGGGGGGATCTTAGCCTTTGCACTCCCCTCGGCGCGAGACGAAGAATCAATCCGGAACCGTCGCAGGTCGGCGCAGGGCATCCCGCGGATGGAGGACGGCCCACGGATGGCGGATATTTATGCCAATGAAATATATTTCACGCGCTCGCAATGGGGTGTCCAAGCGTGACAACAGAAGCTTCACGCAGCAAGGGCGTCGTGACGTGGATATCACGGAGCAACGTCCGGGATATATAGCGCACCTTCAGGCGACACACCCTGGACCGCACGCAAGAAGGAGGGCAGCACTTTCCCACCGCCTCTGCATGCGAGAGCTGACGCCCATCGCGTGGCAGTGGAACCGACATTGTCCTAGAGATCTGAAAAGGGCTGGAATTTGCACGTGCGCACGCGCGTTGAACTTCTTCCGCGCAATACGTAGCCGATCGCGCCGATCGGAGGTGTGGGGGAATTTTATTAAAATCAAGCGCGGAACCGAAGTAAAGTTTCGACGCTATGTGCACGACGCGGTCGTTCATCGGTGAGCGGGGCCGAGACCGTCAGCACGCTGCACTTCAGGGTCTGGTATTAATCACGGGCGGCTAAGATTTTATTATTTAAACTATTTTTTATTTTACTAGGTAAGGCCCACTGAGCTGTGAAGCTCTTTTTTTCAGAAGCGGCCTGGCCACAACTGATAGCTCAACGAAAGTGGCTCGTCGCGTGGACATTTATAGCAGCAGCCAAATACTCTAACCGCGTGATTCTAAATACGGAGGGGAATAAACAGGGAACCTGGAGAAAAAGTCCACGCGACCACGGGGAGAGAGACACACAAACTCAAACTAAACAGCAGGCGTCAGGGTCGTGATCGTTCCCACGACCTCCTGTATACCAGGCGAGGTAGTCAACATCTCCTAGCCACCGTGGCTTGGCCCGCTCTCCCCTATTTCGAACGCGGCGCAAACGCGGTATGCGGCGGTACGCAGTGGTACACGGCGGTACGTGGCGGTATGCGATGGTACGCGGTGGTACGCGGTGGTACACGGCGGTACACGGCGGTACGCGGTGGTCTGCGATGGTACGCGGTGGTACACGGGCACGGGGACGCGCGTCACGCGAGACGCGGGCCCATTTATTACGATTTCCTTCCGTTAGCACGATGAAATAACAGTGATCAGGGCGGCTCGGCGGGCTTGAAGGACAGTCGTGCGACCTTCGCCGGAGCGGGGAGAGGGAACGCGACGGAGAGAGAGAGGGAGGGAGGGAGGGAGCGAGAGGGAGGGAGCGAGAGGGAGAGATGGACGTCTCTCTGCACGGGAACCACCACTCCTTCGCTAATAGGTGGCTGTCCTGTCGGTACGCCAAACTCCCCAAAACCACGTCAGTCTTTTCTTGTTGCTTTTTTATTTTAATATATTCCTGTGCGTATATATATTTTACCGGTGCCAACTCGTATTTTTAAATTAAGTGCTTTGTAGGATTTAAGACAGCTTAATTTTTTCTTGACTTTTTTGTTTGTCGTTTTGGTACGAAAAAAATAGCGGCCGCAAGAGTTTGCTGGGATATTTGAAGTTTTTTGTTTTTGTTTTTACCCTCCGTCTTTTAAAGTTGCGAACGAAATAAAAAAAAAACGGAAAACTGAAAAGCACACAAAGACGCACGGTGTAATTACAATTTCAACTCGTAATGCGCAGCTACAGCACGAATCAGAGGCGCAGAGAACCACAGACGAGCGTAAAACACAGCTGCTAGGGCGGCAAAGCCAGCGCCAACAATCGCACGAACTCTGCGGTCCTCTATATATTAAGGTGTTGTTAGATTAGAGAGCAATAGACGGGTCAAGGGCATTATTCAAACTGCGAAGGAAAGCAAGAGGCTTGGGCAGGGCAATGTCGCTCGAAGGGACGATGGGAAGATGGAGAAAAATGTCGGAGTGCCAGCCAAGGGCATGGAACGCATTTTGAAAGGACGTCCACCGGGGAGACGGAGCGATGGTGAGGTCAGCTCCTCGTGTGCGGAAAGTTCCGCGTGGGTTATTAGCACGACGCGGGACAGTGAGAGGTGGCGGCGGTTGCTACGTCGGGTGGCGGATGGTCTTACGACACAGATTAGGCCACATCATTACGCGGCTTAACCCAAAAATGTATGTAATTGATTTTGTATCCAGGAGAGCCACACAGAGTTGCAGCACTCTCTTTCAGCAGGTTTTTTTTTATTTTATTTTAAGATGTTTTTAGCCAATTAATGAGTGCTTCTTATACAAGTGGGGAGGAAACCGGAGCACCTGGAGAAAATTCACACTCTGCGAGGGGGTAACGCTCTATCCCCAACTTCTACTGGCGAGCCAGAGTACGGCTCCTCCTCGACGCCCACGGGGGGAGGGAGTTTCGCAACAACATCCACCAACCCTCGCTGCTGCTGCCTCCACGGCGCTGGATTACAGGCCGCGCCACGTGCAGCAGCGTAGCCACCACCGCCCTGTTTGACGAATGACTGACGGTGACGATGACGATGCTGGTGAACACGTGATCGAAGAATGTCCTCACCTCGGGATTTCATGCCGATGAATCGGTTTTCCACGATGTCGATGCGCCCCACTCCGTGCTTCCCCCTGCAGAGGGAACACGGCGACAGTGCTCAGGGTCCAGCGGGCATCGCGACCCCGCCACCGCGACCCCGCGACCCCACCACCGCGACCCCGCCACCGCGACCCCGCCACCGCGACCCAGCCACCGCCACAGTAGTTGCAACGACGGAGAAACAATGGAAACTCAGGAAACAAGCAAATGGTGGGACGTCAATTGACGTTTGTACGACGTTGGTCCGACTGATCCGACGTTGGGCCGACATCGGGCCGCCGGACCCGTCGTTGAACCGGCGTTGGCCCGACATCGACCAATGTTTCCACGCTCCCCGCTTGTCCTGCAGGCCAGGTTCATTTCGAGTTTTCCCCCTTTAAAATCCCGTGCTTGGTTTTCGGATACAGACGCTCTGTGCGAGCGCCCGTGCACACGCGTGTTGGTGCCCTGCCACGTCGCCACCGCACGCGCAGGTCGCCAGGGCTTTGGCCAGATCACCCACGGACGGGCCCGCTCTCTCGTCGGACGGCAGATTCCACACGCGCCGACGCACACCGCCCGCCCGCCAGCACGCTCGCCCGCTCTTGAAAATAGAGATCGACTCGGGCGACTCGAGGCACGACAGAAACAGTCACGCGGGCGCCGAGCCCGATTTAGTGCCGGGATGGGTGAACGCCACGCGTAACAGGTGTTACAGGCTGTGGGGACAGTGCAGCAGCATCCAATGTTGTACAGTACCTCTATGCTCACACGCCTACGTTCCCAGCCTCCACCGCCACACACTGATCAGCTTGGTGAAGTATGAGGTGGCAGGATGTGGCGAAACGTGACGCGAGGACTTTTGGCTATGCTTTGGGCCTCTATGCAAGTCTATGCATCACATGGTGTGTATGCGAGTCTGTGGGTCTCTATGCAAGTCTATGCATCACATGGTGTGTATGCGAGTCTGTGGGTCTCTATGCAAGTCTATGCATCACATGGTGTGTATGCGAGTCTGTGGGCCTCTATGCAAGTCTATGCATCACATGGTGTGTATGCGAGTCTGTGGGCCTCTATGCAAGTCTATGCATCACATGGTGTGTATGCGAGTCTGTGGGTCTCTATGCGTGTCTATGCATCACATGGTGTGTATGCGAGTCTGTGGGTCTCTATGTGAGTCTATGCATCACATGGTGTCAATGCGAGTCTGTGGGTCTCTATGCGAGCCATTGCATCACATGGTGTGTATGCGAGTTTGTGGGTCTCTATGCGAGTCTATGCATCACATGGTGTCATGCGAGTCTGTGGGTCTCTATGCGAGCCTATGCATCACATGGTGTGTATGCGAGTCTGTGGGTCTCTATGCGAGTCTATGCATCACATGGTGTCTATGCGAGTCTGTGGGTCTCTATGCGAGCCTATGCATCACATGGTGTGTATGCGAGTCTGTGCGTCTCGATGCGAGTCTATGCATCACATGGTGTGTATGCAAGTCTTTGGGTCTCTATGCAAGTCTATGCAACACATGGTGTTTATGCGAGTCTGTGGGTCTCTATGCAAATCTATGCATCACATGGTGTGTATGCGAGTCTGTGGGTCTTTATGCGAGTCTATGCATCACATGGTGTGTATGCAAGTCTGTGGGTCTCTATGCAAGTCTATGCAACACATGGTGTCTATACGAGTCTGTGGGTCTCTATGCGAGTCTATGCATCACATGGTGTGTATGCGAGTCTGTGGGTCTCTATGCGAGTCTATGCATCACATGGTGTGTATGCGAGTCTGTGGGTCTCTATGCGAGTCTATGCATCACATGGTGTCTATGCGAGTCTGTGGGTCTCTATGCAAGTCTATGCATTACATGGTGTGTATGCGAGTCTGTGGGTCTCTATGCAAGTCTATGCATCACATGGTGTCTATGCGAGTCTGTGGGTCTCTATGCAAGTCTATGCATCACATGGTGTGTATGCGAGTCTGTGGGTCTCTATGCAAGTCTCTATGCGAGTCTATGCATCACATGGTGTGTATGCGAGTCTGTGGGTCTCTATGCAAGTCTATGCATCACATGGTGTGTATGCGAGTCTGTGGGTCTCTATGCGAGTCTATGCATCACATGGTGTGTATGCGAGTCTGTGGGTCTCGATGCGAGTCTATGCATCACATGGTGTGTATGCGAGTCTGTGGGTCTCGATGCGAGTCTATGCATCACATGGTGTCTATGCGAGTCTGTGGGTCTCTATGCGAGCCTATGCATCACATGGTGTGTATGCAAGTCTGTGGGTCTCGATGCGAGTCTATGCATCGCATGGTTTGTATGCAAGTCTTTGGGTCTCTATGCAAGTCTATGCAACACATGGTGTTTATGCGAGTCTGTGGGTCTCTATGCAAATCTATGCATCACATGGTGTGTATGCGAGTCTGTGGGTCTTTATGCGAGTCTATGCATCACATGGTGTGTATGCAAGTCTGTGGGTCTCTATGCAAGTCTATGCAACACATGGTGTCTATACGAGTCTGTGGGTCTCTATGCGAGTCTATGCATCACATGGTGTGTATGCGAGTCTGTGGGTCTCTATGCGAGTCTATGCATCACATGGTGTGTATGCGAGTCTGTGGGTCTCTATGCGAGTCTATGCATCACATGGTGTCTATGCGAGTCTGTGGGTCTCTATGCAAGTCTATGCATTACATGGTGTGTATGCGAGTCTGTGGGTCTCTATGCAAGTCTATGCATCACATGGTGTCTATGCGAGTCTGTGGGTCTCTATGCAAGTCTATGCATCACATGGTGTGTATGCGAGTCTGTGGGTCTCTATGCAAGTCTCTATGCGAGTCTATGCATCACATGGTGTGTATGCGAGTCTGTGGGTCTCTATGCAAGTCTATGCATCACATGGTGTGTATGCGAGTCTGTGGGTCTCTATGCGAGTCTATGCATCACATGGTGTGTATGCGAGTCTGTGGGTCTCGATGCGAGTCTATGCATCACATGGTGTGTATGCGAGTCTGTGGGTCTCGATGCGAGTCTATGCATCACATGGTGTCTATGCGAGTCTGTGGGTCTCTATGCGAGCCTATGCATCACATGGTGTGTATGCAAGTCTGTGGGTCTCGATGCGAGTCTATGCATCGCATGGTTTGTATGCAAGTCTTTGGGTCTCTATGCAAGTCTATGCAACACATGGTGTTTATGCGAGTCTGTGGGTCTCTATGCAAATCTATGCATCACATGGTGTGTATGCGAGTCTGTGGGTCTTTATGCGAGTCTATGCATCACATGGTGTGTATGCAAGTCTGTGGGTCTCTATGCAAGTCTATGCAACACATGGTGTCTATACGAGTCTGTGGGTCTCTATGCGAGTCTATGCATCACATGGTGTGTATGCGAGTCTGTGGGTCTCTATGCGAGTCTATGCATCACATGGTGTGTATGCGAGTCTGTGGGTCTCTATGCGAGTCTATGCATCACATGGTGTCTATGCGAGTCTGTGGGTCTCTATGCAAGTCTATCCATTACATGGTGTGTATGCGAGTCTGTGGGTCTCTATGCAAGTCTATGCATCACATGGTGTCTATGCGAGTCTGTGGGTCTCTATGCAAGTCTATGCATCACATGGTGTGTATGCGAGTCTGTGGGTCTCTATGCAAGTCTCTATGCGAGTCTATGCATCACATGGTGTGTATGCGAGTCTGTGGGTCTCTATGCAAGTCTATGCATCACATGGTGTGTATGCGAGTCTGTGGGTCTCTATGCGAGTCTATGCATCACATGGTGTGTATGCGAGTCTGTGGGTCTCGATGCGAGTTTATGCATCACATGGTGTGTATGCGAGTCTGTGGGTCTCGATGCGAGTCTATGCATCACATGGTGTGTATGCGAGTCTGTGGGTCTCTATGCAAGTCTATGCATCACATGGTGTGTATGCGAGTCTGTGGGTCTCTATGCGAGTCTATGCATCACATGGTGTGTATGCGAGTCTGTGGAGCTCGATGCGAGTCTATGCATCACATGGTGTGTATGCGAGTCTGTGGGTCTCGATGCGAGTCTATGCATCACATGGTGTGTATGCGAGTCTGTGGGTCTCTATGCAAGTCTATGCATCACATGGTGTGTATGCGAGTCTGTGGGTCTCTATGCGAGTCTATGCATCACATGGTGTGTATGCGAGTCTGTGGGTCTCTATGCAAGTCTATGCATCACATGGTGTGTATGCGAGTCTGTGGGTCTCTATGCGAGTCTATGCATCACATGGTGTGTATGCGAGTCTGTGGGTCTCTATGCGAGTCTATGCATCACATGGTGTGTATGCGAGTCTGTGGGTCTCTATGCGAGTCTATGCATCACATGGTGTCTATGCGAGTCTGTGGGTCTCTATGCGAGCCTATGCATCACATGGTGTGTATGCGAGTCTGTGGGTCTCGATGCGAGTCTATGCATCACATGGTGTGTATGCGAGTTTATGGGTCTCTATGCAAGTCTATGCATCACATGGTCTGTATGCGAGTCTGTGGGTCTCTATGCGAGTCTATGCATAACATGGTCTGTATGCGAGTCTGCGGGTCTCTATGCGACCCTATGCATCACATGGTGTGTATGCGAGTCTGTGGGTCTCTATGCGAGTCTATGCATCACATGGTGTGTATGCAAGTCTGTGGGTCTCTATGCGAGTCTATGCATCACATGGTGTGTATGCGAGTCTGTGGGTCTCTATGCGAGTCTATGCATCACATGGTGTCTATGCGAGTCTGTGGGTCTCTATGCAAGTCTGTGGGTCTCTATGCAAGTCTATGCATCACATGGTGTCTATGCAAGTCTGTGGGTCTCTATGCGAGTCTATGCATCACATGGTGTGTATGCGAGTCTGTGGGTCTCTATGCGAGCCGATGCATCACATGGTGTGTATGCGAGTCTGTGGGTCTCTATGCAAGTCTATGCATCACATGGTGTCTATGCGAGTCTGTGGGTCTCGATGCAAGTCTATGCATCACATGGTGTGTATGCGAGTCTGTGGGTCTCTATGCAAGTCTATGCATCACATGGTGTGTATGCGAGTCTGTGGGTCTCTATGCGAGTCTATGCATGACATGGTGTGTATGCGAGTCTGTGGGTCTCTATGCAAGTCTATGCATCACATGGTGTGTATGCGAGTCTGTGGGTCTCTATGCACGTCTATGGATCACATGGTGTGTATGCGAGTCTGTGGGCCTCTATGCGAGTCTATGCATGACATGGTGTGTATGCGAGTCTGTGGGTCTCTATGCAAGTCTATGCATCACATGGTGTGTATGCGAGTCTGTGGGTCTCTATGCGAGTCTATGCATTACATGGTGTGTATGCGAGTCTGTGGGTCTCTATGCAAGTCTATGCATCACATGGTGTCTATGCGAGTCTGTGGGTCTCTATGCGAGTCTATGCATCACATGGTGTGTATGCGAGTCTGTGGGTCTCTATGCGAGTCTATGCATCACAAGGTGTGTATGCGAGTCTGTGGGTCTCTATGCAAGTCTATGCATCACATGGTGTCTATGCGAGTCTGTGGGTCTCTATGCGAGTCTATGCATCACAAGGTGTGTATGCGAGTCTGTGGGTCTCTATGCAAGTCTATGCATCACATGGGTGTCTATGCGAGTCTCTGGGTCTCTATGTGAGCCTATAAATCACATTGGTCTATGCGAGTCTCTGGGCCTCGGTGCAAGTCAACCAATCTCCATATATGGATAGCGGACGCGACTCAAGTATAGAAGCACAAACGCAAAGGAAATTGGAAGAAGCTCATGCAATAATGGACTTCTGGCTGAGAAGAAAATGATGATGACGAAGAGAAAGAGAGGAACATTTGAATTGAGATGCAGAGAGATGGGTGGGGAGAGTGCGTCCAGATTGCATTCCCATTCCACACCTCCCTCCACTCCCTCCCACCCTCCCTCCCGAAACCAAAGCCACACAATGACCCTTGGAGAGAGCGCTAATTAATGATATTAACTCACGGGTCCTCGTGGCTAATGAGGTGGAGGAAATGTGGCCCGCCCCTCTACGTCTCCCACCCCCCCCCATGTCTCCATGTCCCCCTCCCAATGGCACCCCCGCCCCCCCTCTCCGCTCAACCCCCTCAAACCGATCGCCCTGCGACGGTCTACACACCTCCCCGATGCCGCTGCTGTCCTACTGGGACGTCCGTGAAAAAAAAAGCTTCACAACTCACCGGATTCCTCGAGTCGAGATTAAGATTCTCATTCTGAAAAGCCACCCCCCCGTCCACCCCCCACCCCCGCCAGCCCCCACCGCTGCTCATCATCATCACGGTGGCTAGGAGATGTTAACTACCTCGCCTGGTATACAGGAGGTCATGGATTCGATCCCGACCCTGACGCCTGCTGCTGTATATTTGGAGTTTGCGTGTCTCACTCTCTCATCATCATCACGGTAGCTAGGAGATGTTAACTACCTCGCCTGGTATACAGGAGGTCGTGGATTCGATCCCGACCCTGACGCCTGCTGCTGCTGTATATTTGGAGTTTGCGTCTCTCTGTCTCTCTCCCGGTAGCCACGTGGATTTATCTCCGGGCCCTCCAGCTTTTCCGCTGCACATTTATAATCAACGTCAGCGCGTTAAAGAGTATTTGGCTGCTTTTAATTTGCACGTGATAAGCCAACTTCGTTGAGCTATCACCTGCGGTAGCCAGGTCGCTTCTGAAAAGTTTCTATATAGCTCAGTGGGCATTACCTGGTAAAATAAAATAAATTGTTTATAGAATGAAGGGAAGACGCACGGGGCAGTGTTCGTCGCGAGGTCAACAGTGATTGTCGTGTGGACGAACTTGCCCCCGCCATAGGAATACGGACATGCATTCGTCGCCGCATCGACTCCCAAGACGGTCGTCTTGGGAGTCAACTTTGACCGTTTTGTTTCACTCCACAGATTCTCGATCGCTGCTTTCGACTTCTCTCGCGTCCTCGTCCGTCTCGTCTCAGATGGCTCTGTGCCTCCACCCCCTGCCCCCCACCCACCCCCAGCTCGTCCATTAATCGCTGATGGACAATGGAGCGAACCAAAAGGAGCCGGAGAGACAGAGAGGGGCCGATGGGCCGATGCGGGACGTGCACACACAAAGGGCATTAACCAGCACGCGCGCGCGTGTGTGTGTGCGCGCGCGTATGCGTGTGTGCACGTGTGTGTGTGTGTGGGCGCACGTGTGTGTGTGGGCGCGTGTGTGCGTGCACGCGTGTGTGTGTTGGCGCGCGCGTGTGTGTGTGCACGTGTGTGTGTGGGCGCGTGTGTGTGCACGCGTGTGTGCACGTGTGTGTGTGTACACGTGTGTGTGTGTGGGCGCGTGTGTGTATCTGTCTGTGTCTTTGTGTGCGTCTGTGCGCTCGGAACCGAGAGGGGAGGACGTCGTCAATTTAAAAAAAGAAACGCCATGGAGAGGGACAAAGGTGGAGGGAGGGAGGGAGAGGCTGGGGTGGGAGAGAAGAGGGAGGCAGGGAGAGAGACAGAGGGACGCAGAGGAACAGAGAGACAGGCACAGACAGAAGGGCAGAATGACCGGACAGACAATTCAATAGAGGCACAGACAGATAAACGTAGAGACAGACAGATGAGATCGACAGGTGGATAGATGGACACCATGAACTGATCGACAATCATAGAGCTGGAGAGACTGACAGAAGAGACAAGTGGTCATACAGACAGACAGACAGATAAGACACACAGATCGATGGATGGAGAGGACAGTCATTAAGTTAATCAACCAAATGTAGAGACAGACGAATGGACGTATGAACAAGAAGACAGACAGAAATTATGGATAAGCAGATACATGTAGGGGCAGTCAGACGGACAATCGGTGTCTAAAATGCCCACATCTCCTGTCTCTAGCAAATGTCTATCCATGTTTGTGTCTTTGTTTTGTATGTCTGTGTGTGTCTGTGTGTGTGTCTGTGTGTTTGTGTCTCACCCGATCTCGTTGAGATAAGTGAAGATGGCAAGAACGGAGTCATGAGCCACCCCGTCTGTCTCGTTACACACACGGACCGGGACCCCTGTGGAGAGAGACAAAGATCACCCGTGTAGCCTTAACAGACTGCTGGGGCAAGCGCTGTTAGCGAGCAGCGCAGATGAAGGCCGGCGGCACGGCACACGAGGGGGTGAAGGTGGCCAGCACCACGCCCGGCCGCCTTTGTCTCCCCCAGTGGCGATGTGTACACACTGAGGCAGGTACTAATTTGAGGCCGAGTCGACCTAGGGGAGGTTCAGGACCGGTTCAGACAATCGTCACCGGCGTTGGCGGCCGTGAGCGGGAATCGAACTCGGGCCGCCGGGTTCGTGTGGCGCGGCGCTGCGCCGCCGCTCCCCGCAACTTTAAGCGACTCGCGCACATGAAGGCAGAGAGCGGACAGAATGAAAGCGTGACCGGCAAGACACGCAGGGAGCGTCCGCGCGTGAGACGCGTCGGATGGGCGAGCGGGACAGACAGGCGGACGGGCGTCTACCGGCAGGGGGGGGTCCTCCAATTTAACCTCTCACAAAGAAGCCCCCACGGCTTAGGAAAAACAACAGAAAACACGGGGAGCAACGCACGCTCGCGCGAGGCAACGTCATCACGCTCTCATCATCTCCGACACCTTGGCCTGGTCATTCCTCCTCCTCCTCACCTTCCTGACCAGTGCTCCTCCTCCGTTCTCTTTTCTGCTCGTCATGGTCAAGGTGGTTCATCCCCCTGGACAACTGTTGGCAGAAGGCCCTCCCCGCTCGAGGGATCTCTTGAGGAACCCCCCCCCCCCACCCCCGAGAGGGTATGTTAGCCTACTAGACTCAACTCTTTTTATTTAACCAGGTGTAAGGCGCACTGAGCTATGTAGCTCTCTTTCAGAAGCGACCTGCCGGCAAATGATAGCTCAACGAAGTGGCTTATCGCGTGGGAATTTATAGCAGCAGCCAAAAAATCTGAACGCGCGTTTCTAAATGTGGAGGGAAAAAACGGAGGACCCGGAGAAAAAATCCACGCGACCACGGGGAGAGAGAGAGAGACACGCAAACTCCAAATATACAGCAGGCGTCGAGGTCGTGATTGTACCCACGACCTCCTGTATACCAGGCGAGGTAGTTAACATCTCCTAGCCACCGTGATGATGAGAGAGAGAGAGAGACACGCAAACTCAAAATATACAGCAGGCATTTGGGTGGTGATCGAACCCACGACCTCCTGTATACCAGGCGAGGTAGTTAACATCTCCTAGCCACCGTGATGATGATGAGAGAGAGAGACACGCAAACTCAAAATATACAGCAGGCATTTGGGTGGGGATCGAACCTACGACCTCCTGTATACCAGGCGAGGTAGTTAACATCTCCTAGCCACCATGATGATGATGAGAGAGAGAGAGAGAGACACGCAAACTCAAAATATACAGCAGCCATTTGGGTGGGGTTCGAACCCACGACCTCCTGTATACCAGGCGAGGTAGTTAACATCTCCCTAGCCACCGTGGTACCCACTTTTACACACATGGCCAGACGGCGTCGGAAGAGTTGGGAGCACCCCACGCTTCACCCCACGGCGCGCGTGACCCTGCCGATCGTCCACTAAGAAACTTGCGCCGTCGTTTCGCCCTGCCGCACCGGGAGTCGTAATGGGATCGGACCGGCGACCTCTGGATGGCAGCGTCCAGCGGGCTGCTAGCCGTGCCACCGCTGTGGCAGTGGCAGCGGCCGTGCCTCCCCCCCCCCCCCCCCCCCCACCGCATCTATAAATGAATCAGCCTACGTATAGATACAATCGTATACATTTTTACAGAGCCGGGCCGACAAATGAAACCAGGATGGGATGGACATGGCGCGCGGGGGGCAGGGGGGGGCACTCGGGCCCCCCGCGGGCACGTCGCGAGTAATCTCGAGTAATTGGATTTGACAACAAAGACAAAAGGCGCGCGGTGCACACACACGACGCACGCAACGCGCAGCGGGCGGTGAATGTATAATGACGTTAAATCCACATAAAGCGACTTTAACGCTCGGGTTTTATTGGCCCGGGCAGCGTTTCTCTTTGAGCCGCGTGCTTGGCTCGACTGGCCCCCGCTCTCTCTTTGTTGTCACCGGCCCGCCACACTGATCCGAGCTCTCTAAGTCGCTCGTTCACCGCCTTGCTCCTCCGGCTTGCAGGCGACTACCCGCTCGCTCCTTCGCTCGTTCCCTCGCTCGCAACAAACTACTCGCCCATTCACTCGCTTTCTCGGTCGCTCATTGACCCACTCGCGCAACCACCCAGCCGCTCACTCGTTAGTTTACTATACCCATCCACCCACCCAAGTGTTTACTCGTTCTCGCTCGCTCGCTTGCTCACTCACACACCCACCCAACCACTCGTCCACTCGGTCATTCATTCACCCACTGAGTAAGTCACCCACTCACCCAACCGCTCACTCGTTAGTTTACTAGCCAATTCACATACCCACCCAAGTGTTCACTCGTTCTCTCACCCGCTCGTTTACTCGCTCACTTGCTCACTCACTCACTCACCCACCCAACCACTCGTCCACTCGGCCATTCATTCACCAACTGAGTAAGTCATCCACTCACCCAACCGTTCACTCGCACACCCACTCCTCCACCCAGCCAACCACTTACCCAAGCAATCACTCAACTAACCACAGACTCAATCGTACACTTACCCACTCACTCATTCATGCACCCAACTGCTCAATAACTCACTCGGTATCCCTATACAACGACGATTCTGTGGCAGTCGCGATGGACGAGATAAGAGAGGGCAGCTTCAATGTGAAGGGAGCACCAAACAGCATGGGTCTAATTCGTGTGTTTGGAGAGAGCTCTTTTTGTTGGGGTTTTTTTTTGGCAAAAAAAAACGCGTGAATGTCTCCATCACTGACAATGGGGCAAAGAGCCAGGGCAGTGTGTCGGTAAAATTAATCAGGATCCGAACCTGACTTCACGTCTCACTTTTGCCCCGTTATCGTCATCATCGTGTGAGCCATGATATATCCACTGCTGTATAAATCCCAACCCTTGCCATCTCTCATGGTAAATCACTCATCCACTCACTCACTCATTCTCTCAGTCACTCACCCACCCGCTCACCCATTCATCCTCTCACGTATTCATCCACTTACACATTCGCTCACTCACTTGCTCGCGAACACACTCACCCACTCACGAATTGTTTTTCTCTACACATCTCCCTTCCGCTCTCACTCACTCATATACTCACCCAGCCATCCACTCACTCACTCATTCACTCACCCACAACAGCACGCATAGCAACCCTTTATTACCCCTTTCTCTCCCTCCGTCGGACGTTCACTCCCTCATTCATTCATTCTTTCGCTCGGCCGCTAACTCACGGCATCACAATCGTGCCCCCCCCCCTGTTCCCGAGCAGCCTGCCGGATTTCACGGCCCCTCCCGGCCAATCTGCGGTCTTTCTCCCCCCCCCCCCCCCCCCCGGCTGGGCCCCATCCTCCCCCGATCCGTCACGGCAAAATCGGGTCTCGTCCCCCTGCCACGCCTGACCATCTTGGCCACGGTAACAAACGTAGACAAAAAAATAAAGACGGGGACTTGCGCAGCTTCGTGTCACGCAGCAGTGTCGCTCACTCTAACTGGACCCTCTTGTGAGCTCCACCACCTCGGTGGAGCCCGGAGGTTGTGAGTGAGTGGTTGAGTGAATGAGTAGGTGGGTGAGGTGGGTGAATGGGTGGGTGGGTGAGTGTGTGGGTGGGTGGGTGAGCGTGTGGGTTGGTGAGTGTGTGGGTGGGTGAGTGAGTATGTGAGTGGGTGAGCGAGTGTGTGAGTGGCTGAGCGAGTGAGTGAGTGGATAAGTGAGTGGGTCAATGGTTGAGTGAGTGTATGGGTGAGTCCGTGAGTGGATGAAGTGAGTAAGCTCTCAAACCTCAGTTGCACTCACAAGACATTTTGATGGACGGCCTTGGCACCAGATCCCCGGTGCCAATATCGAGAGTTGCCATTCAGGCCCAAAGCCTTGAGTCTCCTGGATGTTCCTCCTTCTTCAGCTATCATCGCCAAGGATAAAAGAGAGGCCTTGGGCCCAAACCTCCTCGAGGGGCTTGCACCAGAGACCTCTTGCCAAGCCTCTACCCGTCGAGATGTGGAGCGTTGAGTGGGCTACGCGAGCACATCACGCCCTTCGCAAGTTCGACCCTGTCATCCTCCAACTGACGCGCATGCTTGCCGAACGCCGACCCTGTCACGTGCCGCTCTGTGCTACCCTTGCCGTGAGACCATCGTTCTCAACCACCCAGGGTGAAGACGGACTGAGATGTCGAGATTGTGACTGGCCTGGTCGCTGGTGGTGCCAAGGGATTTTCCAGTGCACAGACGATAATGGTGAAGATTGTCAAATCACGTAGGCTTTCGCGACCAATATTATTCATAATAACGTTTTTGGGTTAGATCGCGTTATTTATAAATGTGTCGTAACCCTCCACCACCCGACATGGCCAATCACTTTTTACGATTATGGCCGTCACTGACATCATTAAATTAAATATCACACGCGCATTTTCCTAAAATTAACTATCGATCGTTCATCATCACCAAACTAACCGACACACATTATTCGTTATCTTCGTTGTAGTGTTCAGCACCATCCATCATCATGATGAAGTCACCCATAACTCAGTGATTCATCATCGTCATCATCGCTCATTTGTGGTGATCAACCACATCACCACCATTAGACCATCAAAGCAACCGCCACCAGAGTCCACCGCCACCGTCACTGCCATCACCACGGACGCCCTCTTAATCCCACCCCCATGACCAGCGACGGCATTTTTCCCGTCCCCAACTTTTTCGAGTTCAGCTGTCGTATCTGGTCATGAATAAACCATAGTCCTGATCACCAAGACCTCCTCCTTCCCCACGGCTCTCTCACACACAAGACAAAGATCTCCCATGTAGCCTTAACAGACTGTTGAGGCAAGTGCTGTTAGCGAGCACCCATGAAGACCGGCACCGCACACGAGGGGGTGCGTGGCCAGCACCACGCCCGACCGCCTTTGTCTCCCCAGTGGCGATATTTACACACTCCGCATCGGGTACTCATTTAAGGCTGAGTCAACCTAGGGGCAGGCCGAAGATCTGTTCAGATAATCCTCACTGGCGTTGGCCGTGAGCGGGAATCGAACTCGGGTCGTCGGGTTCGTAGCGCGGCGTGCTAACAGCTACACTACCGCTCCCCTCTCACACACGCAGACACGCACACAGGCACACACATACTTTGCCTCCACCTTTGGTTGCCCGTGTTAAAATGAGCATCGGCCAAAATCCCCAGCCATCTGTTGGGCTCACGCCACTGCTAAGGCCCTCCCGCCCACCCAGCCCAGCACGCCCGCCCGCCCCGACTGCCGGGCCGCCTTTTAAAAAAAAGATGAATGAAAGAAAGAAAGAGAGAAGAGAATAAAGAAGAAAAAAAACCCCCAATAATAGTAACAAAAAAGAGGGGGGGGGGGGAGCGACTTAAAGAGTTGGGGAAACCGGGAAGGCGGCAACGCCGAGGAGGAGAAACGCACTCATCAATTTAGCCGTGAAACACTTTAGTCCTTTTCAGCGAGGCCCACTAATCTGCTCGCCGAGCGGACGATATTATGTCCCTCACCACTCAATAGACCGGCCATTTGGTCTCACTAAAAACGCAATGCTTGCATCATTTGGCGCTTTGTGTCGCCGCTGTGGGCGTGCGGCGCTGGGCAGAGGAGGGCTGGTGGGCCGGCGGGTGGCGGTTGTGGTTGGAGGGGCACGCTCGCTCGCAACTATTCACGGTGTGGTGGTGGTGGTGGGTGGTGGTGGTTGTGGGTGGTGGTGGTGGTGGTTATTGATGGTGGTGGGGGAGAGGCGGTGGCGCAGTGGGTCAGCTGCGAACCCGCTCGCCCGAGTTCGATTCCTGCTCATGGCCTACACCGGTGGCGAATATTTGACCCAAAAACTGAGGCCTCACCTAGGTTGACGCAGTCTTAAAATGTGGACATGGTGTGATGTGTAAACATCAGCACCTGGGGAGACAAAGCCGGTCGGGTGTGTTGTGCTGGCTACACTACCCCATCTTGTGCAGTCTTGGCCTTCGCTTTGTGGGTGCTACTCGCGAACAGCACTTTTCACAACAGTCTGTTGAAGGCTACAAGGGGGATCTTTGCCTTTTGGTGTAGGCGGTGGCAGCGGTGGTGGATGAGGGCAACTTGGTTGGAACGCGTGCCGATGGTGCTCGTGGTGGTTGTGGTGAAGATGGACGGGTGACCGGGATGGGATGAGTGATGGTGGTAATTGTGGCGGTGCTTGGGTGGATGGTGAGAGTGTGGCGAGCAGACGAGTTCGTGAGTCTAAGAGCAAGTCGATGCGCCCGCTAGCGTGTGAGTTAACGGGCAAGTCAACGAGTGAGTGAGCGAGTGAGTGAGTGAACGGGTAAGTCAACGAGTGAGTGAGTGAACGAGTGAGTGAACGAGTGAGTGAGCGAGTAAGTGAACGGTCAAGTCAACGAGTGAGTGAGCGAGTGAGTGAACGGGCAAGTCAACGAGTGAGTGAACGAGTGAATGAACGGGCAAGTCAACGAGTGAGTTAACGGGCAAGTCAACCAGTGAGTGAGTGAGTGAACGAGCGAGTGAGTGAACGAGTGAGTGAACGGGCAAGTCAACGAGTGAGTGAACGAGTGAGTGAGCGAGTGACTTAACGGGCAAGTCAACCAGTGAGTGAGTGAGCGAGCGAGTGAGTGAACGAGTGAGTGAACGGGCAAGTCAACGAGTGAGTGAACGAGTGAGTGAGCAAGTGACTTAACGGGCAAGTCAACCAGTGAGTGAGTGAGCGAGCGAGTGAACGAGTGAGTGAACGGGCAAGTCAACGAGTGAGTGAATGAGTGAGTGAGCAAGTGACTTAACGGGCAAGTCAACCAGTGAGTGAGTGAGCGAGCGAGTGAGTGAACGAGTGAGTGAACGGGCAAGTCAACGAGTGAGTGAACGAGTGAGTGAGCGAGTGACTTAACGGGCAAGTCAACCAGTGAGTGAGTGAGTGAGCGAGCGAGTGAGCAAGCGCTTCAGGAATGTGGGCTGGGCAGCAAGGAGAGCAGTTCGGTGGGGGGGGGGGGCAGCAGACGGATTTCACTTTTCCCATCGTATGAATTTAAAGCGGGTCATTCGCTTTGTCGCGCGCGTTAAAAGAAAATAAAACTAAAACCATGAATGAGCCCCGCGGTTAACGGGCCGCTAGCGAGCTCACGCGCGATTGATGGACCCGGGCACGCCGGTGGAACAGCCTCTTAATGAACGGGTTAATGAGTGGACAGGCAAACAAATTATAGCCCACCAGCGAAACTTAATCCCCGAGCACCGGGACAGGAGGGAAGAAGAGGGGCGGGCGGGGGGAGAGGAGGAGGGGAGGGACAGACTGTGGGAGGAATCTGGAATTCTGCTAAATGGTTCCTTTCACGCCGTTTCAAATGTCACCAGTACTTATAACGGCCTGGTTCAAAGCCTTTCCTGATACAGATGGAAATGCAATTGTTACTTGTTGTGCTTTACTACTGATGCGAGCAGATAAGTGATGATGATAATCACTTATGATGATGATCGTGACAATTATAAAGGTGTTATGGATGATGATGGTGAGGACGATGGCAGTTACGACGATAGAGAGATGTTTGTTGTGATTTTGACGATGCCACCGATGCTTGTGGTGGTGATGGTGACGAAAATAACAATGATGATAATGATGACAGTGATGATGATTGACACTGATGATGATTGCGATGGTCGTGGTGATGATGCAGATGAGAATATGTTGAAACAAATAATGACTTGTCTAACTAAATACGTCTAACTTTATTGTAATTGTATTATGATCACTCGAAATAGCATATGCCCAAGCCGACTCGCATTGCAGGAAATGTATTACTTCACTATGATTTATGTTAGTGTAATATTTTTTTACTTGTCACGTGAGGACACATTTGTATTTATGCTTCATTGGTGTTGTCCTTGTCGTGACGCCGGGTCACTCTTGCAAATGAGACATCCTTATTGATCTCGAGTTCTCACCTGGTTAATCAAAATAAACTTGAAATCAGAGCTCAACCAATCAACGATTCCATCCAACCACCTCACCCCGCTCGCTCGCTCAATGCACCGCTCACGTATTCACGCACTGGCGCATTCAATCCATTCCCACGGTCACCGACTCACCCACCCCACTTAAACTCTTGTGAACGAGACTCATCTTGGTCTCCCCTTGAGTTCCGATCTGGATAATCAAAATCGAGTTGACACTGATGATGATGGTGGTGGTGGTGGTGGTGGTGAAGATCACGACGATCATGATGACGACGACGATGACGACGAAGACACCAATTCACTCACCTTTCTTAAACTCAATCTCCAACACGTCCGGCGAGTCAGGAGCCTTGACGGGGTCCTGAGTCATCAGGTACATGTCCGGAGGGGCAGCCATCTGCATTGGGAAGAGATTATTATTCATTATTGTTTTACTAGTTTCCTCGGGAAAGCCTTACTGAATATCAAGACTTCGTCTCAAGAGAGTCCTACCACCTGCCATCTACACACGTGCCCCCTCCCAACAACATGGGCACACACATAGTGTGCCCCCCCCCCCAACCAACCACCACAAACTGGAACACGCACTCATGCCCACCACCCACCTGGGTGTACAAAGACGAAGTTCCCCCCGTGTAGTCTTAACAGACTGTTGGGGCAAGTGCTGTTAGCGAGCACCTATGAAGGCCGGTAAGGTACACGAGGGGGTGGGTAGCCAACACCACGCCCGGCCGCCTTTGTCTCCCTAGTGCCTATGTTTACACGTGGCACCAGGTAATCATTTGAGGCCGAGTCGACCTAGGGGAGGCCCAGGACCGGTTCAGATAATCGTCACGGATGTTGGCCTCGAGCGGCAATCGAAATCGGGTCGCCGGGTTCGTAGGGCAGCGTAGCGCTAACCGTTGCACAACCGCTCCCCACGACATATCTACACACGCGCACAAACATATTTTTGTTCCACGCACACACACACACACATGCCAGCGGCCCAGTACCTCCCAGAGCGGGTTAATTAAAAGTACAGAGATCGCTAAAGACCCTGGCAGTTACCTCCCCCGCAAACAGCAAAAAAAAACACAGATAAAACAAGGGCGGAGAGAGAGAGAGAGAGAAAGCGCGAGCGGGCTAGAGATGGAGGGGGGGGGGGTAAAAGATATCTTTGTGGCTGCCACTTCACATGGGACACTTCTGTCTTTCAAGAACACAGGAGTTTGTGCGACTGGGGCGGCATTGCCCCAAGCAAGAGAGCCCCGGCTCTTTGTTAAGCCACTTTACTCGGCCCCCTCCCCCGGCCCCCCCCCCCACCGTCAAGCGTCAGAACGCACTTCCCCCCCCCCCCACCACCACCCGGTCCCCCACCCGTTCCCAGGCCCGAGGGCCCACGCGGGCCCGCTCCGCTTTCTCGCCGGGGAAATTGGCCATTCATCACGGCGATAAACATCGGTGATCTTTGATCGGATGTTCGCCCGCTCGCCCGCTCCGGGTTTTTTTTTTTGGGGGGGGGTGGTCTCGAAATGTCTCGCATCCCCACACCGCCGCTCCCAAGCCCTCAACAAGCCACCGTCACCACCACCCATCACCACCACCACCACAACCGCCGCCACCGCCGCCGCTACCACCACCGCCAACGCTGCCACCACCACCGCAACCGCCGCCACTGCTGCTGCAGAAGTGCGGCGATGGTAGAATCCTGCTGGTAAATGTTTCCCACCCCGTGGGTGGAAATGTCATCGTGGAAGTGGCAGTAATGATGCCTATTCAATTAATCAGTCAACGCGTATTTGTTACGCAGACAGTCCCATTTAACCCAGCGTGTTTGCATCCACGCAGACCGAGAACATCAACATCAAAGTGATGGGTACAAGGGAACGGGCAACAAACGGGATGGGACGTGTCGGAGGTGCAGGCACAAATAAACTTAAACTAAACTATTTTATTTTGTTATTTCAGCAGGTAAGGTCCATTGAGCTATGAAGCTCTTTTTCAGAAGCGACCTTGCCACAAATGATAGCTCAACAGAATGGCTTTTTAGCGTGGAAATTTATAGCGGCTAAATGCTCGAAACGCACGTTTCTAAATTTGGAGGGAAAACCAGAGGACCTGGATAAAAATCCACGTGCCCACGACACGCAAACTCCAAATACACAGCAGGCGCCAGAGTCGGGATCGAACCCACGACCTGCTGCACACCAGGCGAGGTATTTGACATCTCCTAGCTACCGTGATGATGCTGATGAAAGAGAGACATGCAAACTCCAAATATACAGCAGGCGTCTGGGTTGGGATCAAACCCACGAACTCCTGCACACCGGGCGAGGTAGTTAACATCTCCTAGCCACCGTGATGATGATGATGATGAGAGAGAGACACGCAAACTCCAAATATACAGCAGCAGGCGTCAGGGTCGGGATCGAATCCACGACCTCCTGCACACCAGGCAAGGTAGTTAACATCTCCTAGCCACCGTGATGAGGCTGAGAGAGAGACACGCAAACTCCAAATATACAGCAGGTGTCAGGGTCGGGATCGAACCCACGACCTCCTGCACACCAGGCGAGGGAGTTAACATTTCCTAGCCACCACGGCGCCCCATACGGTGCTTAGGGAACAAAAGTTAACAACATTAACAACACAAGTTAACACAAACAAGAGGCGTGCCTGCCGCTTCTCCCTTTCGGAGGCATCGAGGCACGGCGTAGGAACGGAAACCGTTCGGACAAGTGCCACCACACTTGTTTGGTGTTCTGAGAAGTGCCCGCGATGGCATGCGGTGGAATAGCGGCACGTTTTCCACCGCGGGTTCGCGCCCGTTCATCGGTTGCATCGCCGATCGGATCGACAAGGCAACTGCACCGAATCTACGCAACGACTGCACTGCCAGCCGAGTCAGCGCAGAGTCTAACAGCTGCTGTTTGCGCGCTGCTGTTGTGCGCTTAAAGGTTTCCATCAGAACCGTAACCCCCTAGCTCTTGTTGAAAGGAAGAAAAAAAAACCCCTTCAATATGTTGAGGGCATCCGAACACCCCACACCATCCACAGCGGCCAGCGTGGCCGTCCCCAACTAATCCCGGATCTCCCGTTCCCTCTCCTCCACTGCGATGACACGAGGTCAATCCAACGGCTGAGCAACTTCCGAGTGACCAGTTCTGCACTGTAGCCGTCGGTGGCCGTTGCTGGTTGCTCCCCCTGCCGCGTCCCCCATGTGCCCCCCCCCCCCGTGCCTCCCTACAGGGACCCCCCCCCCTCCCGGGCACGTGGACCGATGGAACACACGCGTGTCCCCCCCGTACCCTCCGCGTCTCTTCAGGGGACCAAAGAACAAAAGACAAAAGATCTCCCACCCACCCCCCCCCCTCACCCCCCCGGTATAGCCTTAACAGACTGTTGGGGCAAGTGTCTTTCGTGCTGTTAGCGAGCACCGATGATGGTCGGCACGGCACACGACAGGGTCGGCGGTCAGCACCACGCCCGGGCTCCTCTGTCTCCCTGGTGGCGATGTTAACACACGGCACCAGGTACTCGTTTGAGGCCACGTCGACCTCGGAGTGGCCGACAATCGTCTCCGGTGTCGGCCGCGATCAGGAATCCAACTCGGGTCCCACTGGCTTCGTAGGGCAGCGCGCGAACCGCTAAACTGCCGCAATCCCCACGCGCCGAAGGAACACGCACACCCACGCTGATGCGCGCGGGGGAGGGCGGGGGGAAACACAACGAATAGGGCACGCTTAATCGGTTATTCCACGTCGGCTTTCGCGGCCAACATTTACCCATGGGAAGGTTTTTGTTTTTTTTCCCCGGGTTAGATCGCGCCACCGTAAACGTGTCGCGAAACCCGAAGCGGCAATAGTAGCTTGTCGAGCGAACGAAACCCTGCCAATTGGTGACCAGTTCGGCGTGCTCCAGAGTCAACCCGCGACGTTCACACTTCCGAGTACGGTAATGACAACGGGCAGCCTCGTCACGCGACGGCCGGGATCGTGGAGGAAGCTTCCTGTTAATCGTCGGTCCACGCGCGCGCGTGCGTGCGTGTGTCCACGGACGCGCGCCCGCTTCACCGGCATCGAGTCTCGGAGCCCAATTCCTCGCTTTAATGAAACGGCGAGCCGCGCTATCGCCCCGAGGTCAACTCGACGAAAGTCCCCTCTTTATTACCCGGTGACGGGCCACAGTCAAAAGAGGCCCCCCCCGACCCCTCCCCCCTCCCCCCACCCCCCCCCCCCCCCCCGTTCACAGGCGGGCACTTTGTGAGGTCTCGATTCCTTAAAAAACAAAAACGGGTAAAGGCGCAGCGCCGCAATTGCTCGTCGCGCCCCTCCTGGCGCAGAAGGGGCCTCTGCTCCAGAGGGCTCCGGGAGGGAGAGAGCTCCTCAAACAGCTAGGTATGCATTGACATCATTTAGATCGTTTGGCTGCTTTGTATGCGCCAGGACCAGTTCAGACATCACTCGCCGTGACTGGGAATCGAACCCAGGTCACGGGGCTCAGAGCGCCGTGTGTGTGACCCATCGCCCTGGGCCTCCCTCATTAATAAACGCACTTCCGCCGAGGGGTCGCTGGGATTGTAGCGCGGCGCGCCGGCTACCGCCGCCACTGCTCCCGGTTGTGACGATGGCGATTGTTTCAAGTGATGACGATGATTACAGCAGATACGACCGTGATGATGATCACGGTGATTAGGATGATAATGATGCCTGGTGAGCGTAGATCTCGAGTGTGCGGGCGGTGCAACTGCACCAGGGCTACGAAGAGGATGGGGCCTGTGCCAGTCACGATGCATCACTCATGATGATTGTCATCACGATCATGATAAGTGTAATGATCATGACATTGACAATGATGATGATAATGACGACGCCAATAAGCATGATTATAATGATAATCATTACGATGGCAGTGACAATGACAATGATAAATCAGATGCTGACGAAGATGACGACAATGATAATGACGGTGGTGATGACGGTGACAATGATTTCAATGGGGACAAATGCACCAATAACCCCAGCTGAATTTGCGAGCACTTGACATGAACAGTAAGCACCGCTGTCATTCACAACGGCGACAGCGCTCACCGACAATCGCGCGTCTCTCACCACCCCTCGGGCGAGCGAGGGACCCTCCGTGTCTCTGCCCCCAATCTACGGTCCACGGACACGGCCATTGTTACACTGGAAGCAGATCACAAAGGGGCCTCCACTCCCAACATACATCCGGTAATAGCGGACGCAAGGCAACGGCTCGTTTTTTTTTTCTCTCCCTCTCTCTAAAATATAAAGTATTAAATAACCACCTTTCTCGGTGGGAATGAATTTACAAAGTCAAATTGCATCGGCACCCAACGACAACCTTCTTGGGAGTCTGTAAAGCTCGGCAGAAAATACTCAATACGAGCAAACTCTGGACTGGTTTCAACGTGCAGTGTCTCATCAGCAGAGTCAGGCTTGCTTGACTCAATGCTGGCGAACGGCTGATGTTAATGGCACGGAGCCCAGCTTCATGATATTGGTGCCACTAAGTGTCGACATGGAAAGTAAGACGCTCTCCCTCCTCTCGATTCGCTACTTTTGGTGTGAAAGTCAACAGCTGAGAATCTCAGTCCACTGTTCATAGTCACAGGGGGGGCTCAGGATCCCCCCGCTCCTTCTCCTTCCCTCTAATTGACCTACTCACTCACCCACTCACTGAAGAATCTCCTCCTCCCCTTCTTCTCTGCGTTTATGCCGACAGTAACTGTGCCTCCGCTTATATCGCCGGTAAGGCATTGTTCAACTCCGTTGAGCAATTGGTAAACATTCAAGGATTGCATTTCAATTAACGGTGGCTTCAGTTTAACGGCGCGCGCGTAACACCGGGAGGCGAGAACTTGAACGTAACAAACTTGATTTTTGAGTGTCACCCAAGTGCGGGTGTGTTATGTATCCTGCAAACACTCGTGCTTGCCTTGGGATTCTCCAGTATTCCCGACTCGTAGCTGCGAACGGCAGAAATGGAGGGAGAAAAATCACGAAGTGTGGACGGATCCCTGCAAAGATTTCCAACATTCGCTCTGTCCTAGGAAGTGTTCAAATCGCCATTCCTAACTTTTCTGTTTCAAGATGCGCGCCGGGGGATGGCGTCGCGCGCGATGACATTCATGCTGGCGGCGGAGGTGCTCGCTTCCTTTCAGCGTCGGGCTTTGCGAATCATTTCAGCGCTGGTCTCGTGCCGAAACATTTCGGGACAAGCCTTCGATCAATCGCGGCCGGTTTTCTCCACGGGCGAGTCCCGAACGGAAACGCAACTACACACTAAAGTACCATTCGGATCGGATCACCTTCGTTGCACGAGAGTTAGCCCGAGACAGCTACGGAAGAAAATAAGACACACAATCTGGATTTGAAGCTTTCGTGACTGCAGGAATCCATGCACTTTGGTTCTTTCGGTAAAGTCACGTGGGTGTACAATAAAATAAATCACGACGTTTCGGGCGCAACACAAGCGTCCATCATCAGGTGATTAAGCGTGGTCTGCTGCTGAGGCAGACTGTTTTAAGACACTGTACAACATGAGAAAGACGGCACAAATGAGATTTTGAAAATAAAAGTCCATCGAATAGCGAGAAGAGGTAACGGGACAGCCCTGCAAGGTATTGCCTATGCCACTGCTGGCAGACGGGGCCTCCAGCAGAGGGAGCTCTGGGGAGTTCTGCTATACAGGCTATCTTGGCCTACTCTTCCACGTAGGCCAGACGTCTTGGAAGAGGTGGGGTTTGGGGGAGGGGAGGGCGTATATGGCATCATGAGTTGACTGTGATGCAGAGGAGAGCCACTGACCTGATGTGCATTAGGTTCGCATCCATGCTCCAAGGGCTCTTAGGGGTGACCGGCAGAGGGATTCCATTTTCCTGTGGGCAGTAGAATATATCATCATCATCATTGTTACCATCATCATCATTGTTACCATCATCATCATCATCATTGTTACCATCATCATCATCGTTGTTACCATCATCATCATTGTTACCATCATCATCATTGTTACCATCATCATCATCATTGCTACCATCATCATCATTGTTACCATCATCATCATTGTTACCATCATCATTGTTACCATCATCATCATTGTTACCATCATCATTGTTACCATCATCATTGTTACCATCATCATTGTTACCATCATCATTGTTACCATCATCATTGTTACCATCATCACCATCACGAGCATTGTTACCATCATCATCATTGTTACCATCATCATTGTTACCATCATCATCACCATCACGAGCATTGTTACTATCATCATCATTGTTACCATCATCAGAGCATTGTCATCATCTTCAACTTGTCAAAACTCAGAATATTTATTCATTTATGCTGCAGGAATCCAATGAGCTAGAATGCTCTTTTCCACAGATGTCCAGTTAATCACCGACATAAAAGAATTTGTTCCAAACCAATGGATTTTTTTCATCATCAATAAATCCATGAATAGCATAATCGTCATCATCATAATAACGTTGTCTCTTGCCAAAAAAACAAATCATTCAGTGACATAATCAGAAGCAATATTGTCAAACAACTTCATAATAAATTATCATCATCATTATCATCATTGTATCCAGATCGATAAGATCATGATTGATATCAATACAATGATAGAATTTCCATTATCATTAAATTGGCACATTGCCAAAACGAAGTTATGCATTGTAAGTGAATAATTTTATCAAACCCCATCAAATATCAATAGTACAACTGATTTGGTGCAAAATAACATATATCGCCAAATATAATTGCCAAGCATGAACCCATTACCTACAAGATAGATACGAATCAGACAACGTTTATGATATAGCATTCGATGCATGCACCGTGAGATTAACAATCAATATCAATCAATGCCAGTCGTAGTCGTAACCTTTATTTAACCAGGGGATAAAATAAACCTCTTTGTGGAGACAGAGGAAACAACCCGGAGGCTTTTGCGACCAATATCATCCATAAGACTTTTTTTTGGGTTAGATCCCGTAAATATATAAATGTGTCATTAAACCCGCCAATTAGTAAGGTTTGTCACGTAAACAAGACTTGCCAATTCGTTACTAGTACAACACACCGGTTGTGTTGGAGAGCAAAGCCACAACATTTACATTCTGAGTACGACGTTTCGCCAGTAATTACAACAAGCTTCATCAGGCGACAAATCTGGCTGTTGCCTGATGAAGCTAGTTGTAATTACACCAAATATGATGTATCACTCCCTGTAGTAGTGACGAATTGGCATGTTCTGTTTACGTGGCTGTGTCGGGTGGTGGCGGGTTTTAACCACACATTTATATATTTACGCGATCTAACCCAAAAAAAACCCCGTCTATTACAGAGGAAACAATGTTGCCTCCATTGATGTCAACTTACATCAAGTCCATTAAGTACAAAATCTAAAGTAAAAAAAATATATATAAAATGTAAATAGATGCACTCCATTCTAAACGGGAGCAACCTGGAACTACGTTTAATAATACATTTAATCAGATTATTATTAATAAAGGCTACTTAAGAAGGTGATTTTCAACCCGAGCATATTTGATCGTCAAGAAGCACAAACCACCACGCGAAACTCCGGTCATCCTCGCCGCAACGGCTTTTGGACTATCGTCCACGCGTCGCGTTATTGCGAGGACACCTGGTCTGACTTGGCGCTTGCGCGCGAGCCAATTGCTGTACCAGCCAGCGCGCTATCATTTCATTACAGCGATCGCACGCAAACAAATCGATCGCCGTTACCCGACCCCAGAAATCATGAAACGTGAAAAATCTCCCATTACAGCGAAGGAGAAAAAAAAAACCCCTCTAATAGAGCTGCTGTGGTGCGTTTATCTAACAGTATCCATGCGACCACAGACCCGTGATTAACAGCGGGATTAGGCGATAACATAATACTATATTGAGTGCGGTGGCGAGTGTGCCACGCCAAAAACCCGGTGACCGAAGTTCGATTCCCGCTCACGGCAAGCGAGAGCGGCAAATTTTCTACGTACGCCCCCCGCGACAAATGGTGCGATTCGCGACCTTGATTCGAGATTGGCTTTGGTCGGGTGGTGGAGGGTTTTTGTTTTTAGTCAAACAACAACAACAAACAAACCAAAAAGATCACATCTCTACATTGTCTAACCGAAAATAAACCAGTCGTGAACCACTGGGGGAATATACGAATCGGTTCTGAGCCTCCTATAAGCCGACTCCGCCTCGAATGAGTACCTGGTGCGGACTGTAAACAATCAGCACTGGGGAAACAAAGGCGGCCAGAGAATGGTGTTGGCCACTCACCACCCTCGTGGCTTTCGTAGGCGCTCGCCAACAGCACTTGGCCCCCCAAATAGTCTGTCAAAGCCTATTTCAACATAAATGATTCTGAGCGAGTGACTGATGTGCATTCTAATGATGTTTCGGGAGGGCTGGAGAGCTGAGTACACGTACAGACCAGTTGTTGCCAAATCCACTGCTGGACGAGGGCCTCTCCACACTGCGTGGGTCACGGGGCTTTCTTCTTACCACACTTCACCAACGCGGTCAGCGCAGGCTGGCACACTTGCCTCCTCCCCGTGGCGTGCGATGCCAAAGCCGATGGAAAGCGCTCGAAGGTAAAGGCTCAGCCCTGCAATCACTCGCTCACGCCACTTGCTACCAGAAAAGTGCCTCCGCCGGAGGGAGCTCGAGAGATCGCCGCTCCCCCAGACGGTATTTTTTGGCCTACTCTTCCCCCCGAGCTAGCCAGACGTCGTGGAAGAGGGTGGTGAGAATAGCCACGCGTCACCCCACCACACGCGGTGGGGTGAAGCGGGCGATCGAATCGAACCGGGATGCAGAGTTGGTGGCGTGCTGACCGCTACTGCACGGCAGTGACAATCCCACGCTGGTAAACATACATACTTGATGGCGGTGTGGGGGAGGGGGGGGGGGGGGTTGTAAATTTCACTTTACCATTACAAGGCATTGTAAATTGTCAATATTTGAACATTCGGGAATAGAGGAATTGTCGAGTGTAAACGCGTGCGTGCGTGGCGGCGAGGCGGGCTGCTGAGAGGGACAGATGAATGCGATCGACAATGGGATTTCAGTGCGGGGGGTGGGGGCGCGGGGAAGGGGCCGTGCGGCGAGCGAGAGATGGAGGGGAGGGGGGGGGAGGGGGGGGGCTTTTTTTTCGAAAATCGGTCGAGAGAAAAAAAATCGTCAAAACCCATCACCCCCCCCCCCCCCAAAAAAAAAATCATCCTCAACGAGGCGGCGGAAAAAATTGCCGTGAAAAAGTTGCGCTCCTCGGCAGAGCCACCGAGATGCAAGAGCGATCGCTTGGGATGAGACCCCCCGCTAAGCACCTCCCCCCCCCCATCCTCCACCCTTCCTCCCCACCCCCCAACCCATCGCTGGTCTCGGGGGGCCCCCTCCCTGCATGGCCCCCTGCTGCCCCCCACCATCCATACCCCGCTGGGCTTCTGATCGCTCCAATTTGTGCCTGTGTGACCTTTATTGTATGAGTGCCTGTCTGCCTGCCTGTCTGAATATCCAGCCAGCACCTGTGAGCAGCCTGCCCGTCTGTTTGTCTCTCTTGCTGCCCGTATGTCTGCCTGCCTGTCTGCCTGTCTGCATATGTAGCCACCTGTAAGCAGCCTGTCGCCTGCCTGCCTGCCTGTCCTAATACCCATCCAGCACCTGTTAGTCCGTTTGTTTGTATCTCTTACTGCCTGCACGCTTGCCTGTCCTGTTTGTCTGTATGTATGCCTGCCTGCCTGCCTCGCTGTCTGTATGTCTGCATTTCCAGCCACCAGTAAGCCTGCCTGTCTGCCTATATGATTGCCTGTCTCTCTCTTGTCTGTCTGCCCAGTTAGCCCCCTATGAGCCTGGCTGGCCTGGCTACCTGCCTGGCTGTCTATCTGCCTGCCTGTCTGCCTATATGATTGCCTGTCTCTCTCTAGTCTGTGTGCCCAGTCGGCCCCCTATGAGCCTGGATGGCCAGGCTATCTGCCTGGCTGGCCTGGCTGGCTGTGTGCTTAGCTATCTGTCAGCCAGACTACCTGCATGCCAAGCTGCTTATCCGGCCACCTGAGACTGGTGACAGAATGGCAGCCAAAAGGAGGAAATCACGCCCAGATAGGACAGCAATAGCGGCGATGGGGCAATGAAATCAGCTCAACGCCGCGGGAGCAAAGATGCCTTGCGTCGTCAAAAGACCGCGACGAATTACGTCGGCTTTGGGCAAACTTCGTCTGGCAGTAGAGAGATCGTGGCGGATAAACGGCGACGGGGCACGTACGTGGGGGTTGGCCCCCGCTTCACCAACCGGCGTCGAGCAAAGGACGGCGAAGTATGGTCAAAACAAGGCCCGCGGCTGACGCGGCGCGTTGCCCCACGTGACGAGCTGGTGACGGAAGGGCAGTCAAAGGATGGAGTGATACAAATCGTATTGGGTGTCACGGAAAGCAAGCGGGCTTGGGGTAGAAACACATCGTGGCTATATAGAGGACGTGCGTAAGCGTGTCGAACTTCTTTCGCACCGTACGTAGCCCAACCGTGCAAATCGGAGGCGCGGGGGAAGGTCAACGAACTGAACACAGAAAAGCAGTTCTAAAGAAATTAGTTTGTCAATCTAGAGAACAGAAGGGATGACGACAAATGGACGAGACTGGAAATGGAACAACAGCCAAAATAGAGAACACGCTCGGGGGGATGACCACTGCAGAGATCCAGTGATGAGATCAGCTGTATGACCATACTTCACCACTCTGGTCGGCGAGGATTCGTAAAGAAGGACCAGAACCGGTTCAGATATCACTCGCCTGCTGATTTTAGCCGTGGCCTAGGAATCTAACTCACGTTGCCAGATTCCTAGAGCATTGCACTAACC